CGCGGACGAAGATGCGGTCGTAGAGGAGGATGGTGGCGAGCATTGAGGTGTAGGTGAAGACGGACATGGAAGCGGGTGGGATTTGGAAGGTGGGGGTGAGGTGGCGGTCCATGGTCTTGGCCTGCTGGAGGGAGAAGGTGTTCTGTTGGGCGTAGGCGGTGATTAGAAGGATGCCTGCGGCCCAGATGGGGCCCATGCGGAGGACAGACTTGAGCTCCTCCACGCGGTGGACAGTGGAGAGGGCCCACGGGTCAGGGGATTTCGGGTCGTCTCCAGGGGTCACGATGGCCGCCTTGTCCAGGAACCTGTACACAGGAATTACAATGAGATTTAGAAAATCTTGATCCATCACTGATCAATCAAATTCTTCATCCAACACTCTGCACCAGTTTCAAGAAACTGGAAAATCTTCCATCTCATCAACAATGGCAGGCTCGAATTTGCTGTAATTGCCTTTTCGTTCATGGTTTTTACTGAACTCTTTGAATTCGTAAAATTGAACTTCAAACATATTTGCTCTGGTTCATCGTCATTGTCGAGCCAAATTGAGTCGGCGGCCTCCATTCACTAGACATGCCTGAAAGAGACGAGATCGGGACGTCGTATTGGGAATCAGAAGGTGTCTTGGAAGATGAGGGTCTGGGGTTTCTTTTTAAACTTTAATAAGTTCTGAGCTTAATTTTAATTTTTAAAATTTTAATATATTGCAATTTTGGTTACTGAGCCAAATATGTAACTTAACAAAGAATTAATAATTACACTTATATGAGATACCACACCAGGTAGAGCAAACCATTAAACTGGCTGACTAGGCCGAGCAAACTGGTTGGTCGAACATAGTTGCAGGAAGGTCGAACGGAAGTCTGAGTGCCACCACAGGACAACGAATCTTTAGGTCGAAGAAGACGTGAGGGGTTTAGAGGGACAAAGACAACAAGACCGGTTGGCCTGATGGAACTCGACCTTAAGTTAGTTTAATATTCATATTATATGAGGTGGTATCTGAGCAAGACATATATAGGGTCGCTATTATAACAACTGTAGGTCTTAATCTCATCAATAAAATGCAATGCATGGAGCAAATGGGACAAAAATGTCCTCTCTTTTTATTTTTCCTTTTTTTTTTTTTTAGTTTTTAATTTGTACGTAATTTCATTCTCATATTTTAGAATTTTGTCATACGATAAAAGCTGACCACAATTTGTGTCGGTTGACATATGTTACACATGTGAACCACCAAAACAGATGCGTATATGGATACACTTCGGTTACAAGAGTTAACGGGTCGGGTTGACTTGTTAAGTTCTTCGGGTCAAGTCGTCAACTCAATCTAATTAATGGGAAATGCTAAACTCTCGTTATCGAACCATTCCGTCGAATGTGTAACTGTTAGATTCTCATGTAACCGTTGTCGATAGTTGATTTAATAGTTACAAACCTCGACGGAAAGGTCCCATAATTATATACCTCCAAATAAGCATTAATGAAAGTGCACAAATTAATAGGAGAGATAGAAAAAGGAAAGAGTTACTTGATGCTCTTAGTGTGAAGAAGCTTGCCGCCCAAAGAAATCGCCGCATCGAGTTGGTCGTTGTCGTACAACAATTTGGGGTCGGAAAGCATGGCCACCTTCCTCTTCTTATACGCGGCCACGCACACCTGGGCCAGGCGGGTAAACGGGCTGCCCGCCGGGTCGAGCTTCCGGTACAAAGGGTACCCGAACACGAACGCAATTACCGAGATGCCCATGGCCACGGTGGGTATACCTAACCCCCAACCCCACCCGATGTTGTCCTGAACGTACACGATCACCGTGTTGGCCACCAATATGGAAGCCCCCATGCAGAAATAGTACCAATTGAAGAATTTCCAAGTGGACGTTTTCTGCTTGGGGTCGTTTTCGTCAAACTGGTCGGCCCCAAACGAGACTACGCACGGCCGTATTGATGCGGAAGTGGAGATCGAGCCCGGAGAGCACGAGGGTTGGACAGGCGTGGCCAATGGGCGAATGGGCAAGAGACGCGCATCGGGTGGTGATGCGCGGGCGTTGGGCGTGCACGCGGGCAGAGTCCTCGTCCGCATAAGTAGATCGGGCACTCGACGGCACGCACGCGAAAGGATCGATTGGAACCAGGTGCGCAAGAAAGCGCGCGAGTGGTCGGGTGATCGTGCGAAGGATGCACGGGCGATAGGCGCATGGGTCGGCGAGCGCGGGGCAGGGACGCGCAAGTTAACGGGCGAACGCGATGATGGCGCGGAGGCATCGAGCGTGGGCAGCAACCGCAGAGGTGGTGGGGACGCGCGGCAATCATGGCGCAAGCGCGCATTATGCGCGGACAGCAGCGAGTGGGGTGACGCGGGTGATGACCGCGACCGCGAAGGAAAAGGCATAGGCGAGAAGGGCTGGGGCGCACGCGCTAGGGAGAAGACGGCGCGGCTGGGCGTGCGCGTGCGGTGATTGAGGCGGCCGAAGGAGTTTGAGCATATGGAAGACTTGGAGCATTCTAGAATTACTTGGTGTGCAAGCCAAGAGATTTAGTTTCCAACTAGCTTTATGATTTCTAGCTTAATTAGGATTTCTAATATTTTATTGCTTTAATAATTCCCTAGGTAGATTAGGACTAGATATATTTTGTGCCTATATAAAGGCCCCTTCCCTATGTTATTATTCATCATTGAAGAATTAATAGAACTCAAGAACTTTTGTTCATTCTCTCTTTGCTTTAGTTTTTTCACCAAAATTCTATTGCAATTATATCGTTTAGAGGGGTGCGGTTTGTGAACCTCTAGGCAACTATCGGCGATTCAAGGCACTGGTTTGTGGCTTATCGGCAGTCGGGACACGCGATCTTCATCACGTATGCCGCCCGAGCCCAGGGCCGTCAGTAGGAGCGAAACGTAGAGGATTGCCAGCTGGCCCGAGTCAGCTTCCTGGCAAAAGTTCGTTTTGTTGTTGTTGTTGTTGCTGTTGTTGCTGCAAGGTGGTGGTCTTAGTTTTGGCACCACCGCTGATGTTGTCAAGCTTATCATCCCCTGTTTCGAAAAAATATTAGACCCGATAATTAACAAGCCAAAACACAATAATTAACTAATTGGGTATGAGAAAACATTTACAACTTAACTAATTGGTAAATTATGGAAGCAATCGTGATGGTCCAAAACCTTCCGGCGAAGGAGTCGGCTAAGAAGGCGCCGATTAGAGGGGTCATGGCGGCTGTCCCTCCAAAATTTGTGAGCGTATTGGCTGCCTTAGTAAGAGGTAAGTGTAGCTGGCTTGTCAAGTAGCTTATCATGTTTGTACTAAACCCAACTACAGCCAATTTCTCACATATTTCATTTGCTGCACAAAAAAAAAAAAAAAAAGATAATCATTTTTAGTTTTTAATATATATAGTTACCGGAGATTCTACGCTCTAGTTACGGATTCATCCCGTCAGAATTTGTAACCGTTAGATTAACTATCCACGACGATTACACGATGATCTAAAATCAGATCAACTATCCACGACGGTTACATGATGATCTAACGTTTACAAATTCAGATAGAATGCTTCCGTAACGAGACCATAACATTTCTCGTTAGTTACATGACCACAAATTGATAATTAGTAGCTAAACAGAGACAACTAGGATAAAAATGAATTGCAAAAAATTGAAGTTATGTAATTGTAAACAACAAAGCTCTCACCAAAGATGAAAGGCATGGTGACAAAGCCTCCCTCCTTCTTTTCGACATTATTTTGGCATTTTTGCTCCATTGTTTCCATTTCTTTGTTTGTGTTTTCGTGGTTTCTTTGCTGGAAATTGCTCCTCTATTTAGGCATTTTATAGGTGGAAATTATAATTAATTTGTACATGTCATTTGATGTTTCTATTATTTTCCTTTGTTTCTTTGTGCAATCACCGAATGTGGATATAGTGCATATCTATCTGCCTGCGGTGAAACCCAAGTTGGATAATTATCCACCCCGTTTGATTATTTCATTGAAATTACTTATTGGAACAACACCTAATTTGTACCTGTTTAAAAATATAATTTCTTTTGAGAGCATTGTTTATAATTTTTTTTTTTTTTTGGTTTTGATTAGTTTTTTTGGTTAATCATAATTAGTTTTGAAAAAGTTGATTGAGTTAAGTTTGAGTGGGATTTTGAATTTGTATTAAAATAATATTTAAACTAAAATGATTATAGTTGATTTTGATGTAAAAGTAGGAAATATGTGATTGAAAATGGTAAGTAAAATTATGCGAGTAGATGAATAATGAATTAAACTTGATGTGATGTGCACGGATGATTGATTTATATTTTTTAATTATATTAATAATATTGAGGATAGTGAGGTGGAGTTAAAATTGAATTGAGGTTGATTTTTTTTTTTTTTTTTTAAATAAAATTTCAGTTTCTTTTAATTATACCATACAATAGGGTAACAATTGCATCTGTCGCCGACTGCTTCCTTCTTCGCGTTGTTTTGCCTTCCTCGCCGGCAGCGCGGCTACGACCCGTTGTCGCCCTTGATCGCTCGTCCCTCCCCCTGTCTTCTCGGTTGCATGTTGTTGCTGTAGTGAATTGGAGCTAGATGGTCTGCCCCTTCCTTTGGTTGCTGGCGAAATCGCGATTGAAGATAGTGAGCTTCTCGGTCGGCGGTCAAGTGATTGATGGTGTCGATTGACGGCGAGTCTCGATTGGAGGTGGTTGACCCCTAAATCTGAAATTGTCGTGACTTGAGGGCTCCCCTTGGGCAGCTCCGCTTCCCCGATGGGGCTCCGATGGGGCTTTTCGTTTTGATTGTCGGCGTACTGCGGTGATGGCCGGTCGGAGGGTCAGCAGGTGGGGCTGGGCTTCGGCTGCGGAGTCTTTCGTCGGAGAAGCTAGAGTTGTAGGACCGAGCCGCTTTCTCTCTTCCCCCGATTCTTTGGTGTTGGGGTCGGGTGGGGTCCGGAGCACCCGAGTTTGGCTAGTGGTGCTAGATGATGTCGGGTTGTGAAAGTGTGGGAGTTCGTGTTGTCGTTCTATCGTTTGGGGGTAGATTATTTTGGGGTTAGGTTCAGGACTCGGGTTCGGCTTCTGTATATGGGTTTCGCAGTTTCAGTAGATGTGCCTGGGCTCGGGATCTTCCTTGGATCGATTGTTCTCTGCTGGCCGAGCTCGTTTGTTAGCTGAGAAAGGGCTTGAATTTGGATATTTTGTTACTTTGTTTTCTGTCTTTTTCATTTATTTGTGTTGTTTAGGTCTTGTGTTTTGGTTTTGGTCGTTGACCCCTGTGAGCCCGAGTGCCAACTTATTACCCTGTTGGGATCAGACACCCGGGTATTATCCTGGTGGAATCTTTTTTAGTAGTTTCTGTTTATTTGTGTAGTTGGTTTTGTGTAGTTGTGAGTGTTGCTTTTCTAGCTTTGCTAGTTTCGGGATTCTAGGCAGTCTTCTAACCAGTCCTTCCACTTTTTCAGCTGTTGGCTGTTCCATTCAGCTAGGGCTGTGTATTCGCAATTTGTGCATTTTGATTCATAATATCATTTATCGTTTCAGAAAAAGAAAAAAAAAAACTTACCATACAAAAGGTGGCTTCTGAGGAAGAGAAGATATCTGGAGGAGTAGGAACACGACAATTGTGGAGATTGACGAGGTCAAAAGAACTTACCATTTTGAGAGAAAAGACTTGTACATAACAAAGAACACAACTCTCTCACGGGTATAGAGATTAATTTGTATTGAGTAGGGAGTTTTGAAGAGAGGAGTCTATTTTAAGTTAATTTTATTTTTATGAGAGTATAGTCAAGAGCTTGTTCTCGATCTCAGTGAGCTTGCAAACTTACACACTTTGAACTATTTGCATAACTGTTCAGGAGGAACACTTAGAACGATTTGAGAGAAATGAGTTGTAAAATCCACAAGGGATTTGTGGCCAGAAAAATAGTATAGCGAGTGATTATAGAATATATTGTAAATCTGATTTATAATGAGTCAAACATTTATGTATATGAAAGAGTTCCAGAGGGGGATTGGGATGCTCCCTTGAAGGTTCATGTTTTGTAGAACCCCGCTTTTGCAAATTGTGTGAACTTACATCTAGTTTACTACTTTATATACTTAGTACAATTCTGGTTTATACCTCTACAGTTTCAGAGTTGATCCAAGAGTGAATTTAGATGTTCTTTGTTTGTCGGCCTTAGTTTTTGACATCTTTTTGGATTTTCGATTGTTGCATTTTGGCTTTACTCTTTATCGGGATTCTTATTTATTTGAAATTTGAATTTCAAACTCTTCCATGCATCCAAACCTGTTACCATGCATCCACCCCTTTTACACGCGTCTGCACCCATCTCGTTGAACCATCGCATTGCCACGTGCCGATGTCACTCCAAACGTCCCGTCGCCAGACGCTTCGCCATCTGTGCATACCTTATGCAGTGCACCTCATTAATTACTCCATTAATCTCGCTTGTTACTTTTCGCTTTAATCCAATGACCGCCCTCGACCTGTCTCTTTACCTGCTATATCCAACATGAGCCATTGACCTACTTCCAATCCTACGATCAATTTTTTTTTTTCATCTATTTACCTATTTCTTCCTTTCGCTTTTAAAAGGCCACCTTAGCTAACTTTGAAAGATTTTTACCTTTTCGAAAAAAATCCTCTCATTATCTACTTTGCTTACTTCTTGCGCTCGACGAAAAGTTCACTGCGTCCAGAGTTCCCGTCGCTCTGATCACTCTTAAAACCCAAGATTTCTTCTCTTTCGCTCGACAACCAGCAATACTCTATAAGTTTTTCTTCTCATTTTTTATTTTAATTGCAATTTGCATGCATTAATCTATCCGGTCTTCCTTTCAATTATTCTTTTTCATTGCCGTCTTTTATTTTTTCCGATACTTGAAATTTTTTCTTTTTGTTTCCATTTTTGTCCCATTTCAGATTCCGTGATTTCAAGCGAGGGTGACCACCACTTTAGTCGCGATATGAGTCCCATTCTTCTTCGGCCACTTCTAATCCACCATTCACTCATTTGACCTTTCTTTTAGTTGGGATCAAAACCCTACCTTCGTCTTCTCGAGTTTACCCTTCCTCGGCTACCTCCCATTCTCCTCGTCAATACCTTCATCCCCAGGATAAAACTGACTCTAAGAACATCGATGAAGAAACCTCTCCTCCTCACCAGCCTGCAGTTCCCATGGGTGTGCCATTCTTGGGACCACTCCCTTCACCACTGAGAGTATGGTTACCGTGGCCGACCACCCAACACTTTTTTAATTTCTCAAAGGGTCGACTTGATTGTTTCCTCTCTCAGTGCTGTCTTTTTGCTGACCGGAATTATGTGTCACCTCGACCCATGGATTTTTACGACCATCCTCCTCTTGGGTGTTATACTTTTTTCCAAGACCATATTGACCTGGGGCTTCGATTCCCACTCAGTTTTACCTTTCTCGACTTCCGCAACGTGTTTGGAGTTCTCATTAACCAAATGTACCAAAACTCCATCCGCAACTTGTCATCTTTGCCATCATTTCCTTCTATTGATTAGAGATATCGACCTAGGTTTCTTTTTCTACTGTTTTATTGCAAAGTGCCATAGCTGCACCTTGTAGTTGCCGGCTCACAGTGGGGCTCATTTTATCAATGATATGCCTTCCAACATCCCCAACTGAAAAAATCGTTATTTCTTTATTCGACCTTCCTCTCTTTTGCCTTTTGAATCGACTTGGGTTACAAAGTACACTTGTACCATACTTGTGCCCACCTTTTGCTACAAATTTGACCTCTGTATCGAGGAGTAAAATAAGTCCACCATATCCTCCGAGATCCTCCTCGAAAACGAATCATTTTTTTGGCTCACTGTGGCTTATCTCCTCATCATTTGCTTGCTTGACTCCTGAGCAGATTGGTATTTAATAATCTCACCTTGCTTTGTTTTCATTTATTCATTATGTAATGATCATTGTGCTTTCCTCCTTTTTATTGCAGAAGGGATTTTTCAAATTGAAGGGCCCTCACTTTGTTTCCATCCCAAAGAGCGAGAAAACCAGCTCTCCTTCCAAAGGGGCTAACCTCGGGCCTCAACAAAAGGAGCCCAAGCGCTCTCGACCAGAGGAACCCACAAAAAGGGTTAGCAAAAAACGACCTCAACACAAGCAGGGGTATGTTGGTGTTTATACGGAAAGCTTGGCTTTAAATGTATTTACACTGAACCTGTTTGAATGAGAATCATGTTTAATTAAGCAAGTCTAAGTTCTGTTGTTTTGCTTTAGATAGTGTGGGTCATCATCAGGAGTACCGAAGATTATGCTATCAGTTACACGAAACAAGAATTAATAGTTCACAACCTAGATGAACATGAACACCCCATCGTGAATGGTTGTAGTGTCAACGGGACAATTTGTCTTGACTGATTAGTTACACTAGTACATTTATGTATTGAATAGGATCCTAGAGAGGAGAAGTTCGTTTTATACTGATCATCGTAAAAGAACTAGGCCTCGGTTAATTACTGCGTTTTCTTAACCCTAAAGATATTAAACAGGCATATATATGCAGTATATATTACTTTGATTCACATGGATGAGGTTTAGTGAACTGGATCAATAGACCCTCTGTCTTAGGTAATATTGTTGCATATATGATGTGCTGTTAGGATACGGTCACCATGTGCGTTAGTTTGATGATATCCCTGAGATGAGCTCATGAAGGATTATTATGTTAAATCTGGCCAGTGGAATTTATTCCGACATAACAATAATGGGATGAGTGGTACTAGTCTCGGTTATAGA